GCCGCCATGGCTGTTGTCTGGGGCTGAGGCGGTTGGGTCAGACGTGGCGGCGCCTCTTCGAGCCCTTCGGCCCGGCTTTTGGCGTCCACGCGGCTGGCGCGGAAGGGGGGCCCCGTGTGGAGAGCTCACTGCCGGCCCCGGTGGATGCACAGCAAGGGCAGGACGAGGGCCTGGGGGGGCAGCCCAAACGTTTTTTTTTTATAGGCCTCGGCTGCGCCGCCATGTCCTCATCTTGCCCCGGCTGCGCAGCCAAGGCCTCCCATGAGGGAACAGGTCGCTGTGAGCTTATATGGCAGCAAGGCACTATTTGATTTCCTACTTTCAATTCATTTGTATGGAAGCATAATGTTCAGGGCTTTTTACTCTTATTTCAACAGAACTACCCATTATAGCTGCATATTATTACCAGAGTAGTAATAGCCAGCAAGAAGCCCATCACTAATTATACGAACTGAGGTTTGCTTTCTGCTAGGTGCATAGATTTATAACCATCCCTGCAGAATTTTATCTACATTTTGCTGTCCCTTTGCTTAGTATTGCAAGGGTTTTCAGCAGTTTTCACAGCTCACCTTGACTACCCTGAATGCCATCAGCTAGAACTGCTCGTGCGATAAAATTCACACAGAGCTGGAAGGTCTTCTGATTTATGCTGTAGAATGGAAGTATCATCTTCAGAGGCTAGGGTACACTGAAAAATGAGAATGTTTGGAGCGCTAAAGAGCCACAAGTAACAGCATAACAAATATATGAAAGCTGTTTGAAAAGCAAATAGTCAATTACTAAGGAAAGCAGTCAGATTTTAAAAAATACGAAAAAAATCTCATCAGCTTAATTTTTTTGAAGAGAAATTCAGGACAGATACGTGAGTATGAAAATACTGTTTCTTTTCATCAAAGATAGGAGAAAAAAATATATTTGAAAAAAGATAACCAACATGAAATCCTTAAAAAATAATGTATTAAGAGAACTAAAAATTTGAGTCAAGCTTTATGCAGAAATGACTGTAGAGCACCCATAGGGAGAAACAGTGAACGCATTTTCATTTAGCAAATCTCCTCACAGCACACATTGTTGACAACAGGTCAACAGAAGACAGTCCCAGTCAGTGCTTAACAATACGTGACTTTTCCAAAAACAGCCATATGGCTCCCTACAGCTTCACTTTGAAGACAGTCCTTTGGTTTGTGAAATCCAGGAAGTAAAATACAATGGCCAATTCCAGATTTACTTTGGGACATGGCTGGGGGACAAAGTGGTCTCTGGGTTTATCATTCCCATTTGTTTGTTTAAAACTTTTGTCTTAATTGTATGTGGAAAGTTTTGAGGCAGATAAGAAATATTTTTATTGAAAACAAATAATCCAAACAGCTTTCCAACTGAATTTACTTACTTGGACCAACCCTATTCGAAAATAACTTTTTGAACAACACCTAGTCTTGGTGATCTCCAGTTTCTTAACATCTTTTTGTATTTGTTTAGCATAATATGTAACCACCCAGATTATAATTTCAGAATATAAATATTTTTCTGTTCTTTTAAGTGTTGTGAACAATGAACATGGCATGGACACTGCTTCCTACATTAACACCTTCTTTGTTCTTCATAAACACACATTCATGCAGCCTTCTGGTGCCTTCAGTTTTACTTAACACCAACCAAAAGTGCTACATTTAATTTTTTTAGTCAAATTGGGGGCTTGATACTTCTCTACAAAATAAATGACGAGTATCTGCATTTCAACTAGAACTTATGTAATAAGCATCTCTTCAGTTCTGTACTTCAGGGTTGTATTTGCATCATTGAATCAATTACTGCGATATTCTTGAGCAATCGTTTTTTCAAGGTTTTGCATATCATTTGTTTGCTTTTCATGAGACAGAGAAAGGGAAAATGCAGCCCTGGTCTAAACAGAGGAGAGGGAAGTGGAAAGACTGCAGAGCTCCATGACGTCAGTACCCAGTGGGTCAGCCCATTCTCTCCTCACTTTCTTGCTGTAAATCTCCATCTGAACATGTACACTTTTACACCTTGTCTGGAAGATGATAAATCAAATCAGGTCTCAGATCTCACCTCCTTTCATTGCTTCTGTAAGCAGAAGATGTGGAAACAGTGGAGTCAGGACAGAAGTCAATCCCTCTTAGCTCTGTGCCTGCTGTCCAGACTGCCCCAAAGAGGCACTGCCATAATGGCCTCGTTTGCTCTATTCCTGTATAGTAATTGGAAAATGCTGCTGACCACCTGAGTCGGGGACAAAGGGCTAACACTATGCTGAGATGAAGTTTTACCCAGAGTGCCACCCAGGACAGGCCTGTCTGCAAAATACATACGTAGTAACTAACAGTATGTCTTTCTGACAAAACGGAACCAGAGTGGTAGCACAGGTAGGATTACCTAAGGAGGTATTTTGGGTAAGTGGGTAAGTAAGGTTACCTACTTTAGGCAGCAAAGGTAAAAACTGTAGTGAGGGAGTGAAGGGAAGGACTTAAACACAGCTAATTACTTCAGGACTAGTCAAGCAGGGACTCTGATGATACAGCAGACTGAGCTGAAGTCCATAGCACTAAACCTTGACTGTTAATCGGACATGCAACTCTTTTTCGAGTGCAGGGAAATGGGCAACTAGTGTATACTTTTGGAAGGAAAATTTTCAGACTGCTGGGGCAAAATTGTTGCCCTGATATTTTTTAGCACACAGAGTGCACACAGCCTCTAAGCCGTGAAAGGCCTACTTCAGAGAATCTCCGTACACACCGTAGAGTTCAAGAATATCTACACTGGAAAGAAAAAGTCAAATGTTGAGATGTTGATCCAGGATCTGCATCAGTTTTTGTCTCTGGGTGAGATAATCAGCTTTTATGTACAGAGATCAAAAGCATTGGTGTTATCAGCCTGGAGAGATAATCTACATCAGCTGCTCCCTGTGCCTTTTTGCCTATGTCAGTGGTTTGCAGGAGTGGCAGAAAGTTGAGATACTATAAACCTCACTATTGGTCAATATTCAAAAGCCTTTGAAAAGCTGCAATAGACACTTGTCTAGAGTGCTGGAGACAACTGTGTTGGACAGTATGAAGCAAAATTAATAACAGTTACAATGAAGAGCTTCCTTTTGAGAATGCTGGGTTTTCCTGCCAGCACAGGTTCTGAAACTCTCTTTTCTTGAGCCAAAGTACCAACCTAAGAAGGATGACAAGAAGAAAGTGTTTCTGACTCAAACACGCTCTCGCTTGCAGAGGAGAGTGTGTTTTAGGCTTCCTGATTTAAAGTTGTATCATGACCCACTTGTTCTGAAGTAGGTCAGTCTGTGGTATGCTGAACTAAATCAGAAAGGCCAGCCCAAGAGTAGTCTGAGTTAAGAGGAAGATGTAGAAAGCCACTTCCTATTTCTGTTATGTTAGTAATGGGTGCAGTGTATTATTACTAAGGGGAGTTTTTGCATGCAGTCCCTTCTTATGTGCTGCCCTTTCTCGTAGTTGTCAGTCTGTCACATGCAGAAGGACTGTGCTCTGACATTTCCTTCTTTCTGCTTGGTGAATTAAATGGGTTTAGGTAATTTTTTTCAAGGTTGTTTTATTCTGGCATAGATAACCTGCTTCCTCTTGCCCGAACAGACACTGCTATACACATACAGTTCTCTGTGCATTGTTAGAGCTCCTTCTCACTTCTGCTCTGTTCTTTCCAATGCTAATCATGATGCCACAGCCATGAAAAATGTTAAAGTTATATTACTTGTATAAGGAACATGATCTTCTGGGAGTTTGCTGTTTGCTAGGTAAGAGCTGTTCTGGAAGAAGGAGCTGACAGTGTGTTATAGAACAAACTGCTGTTTCCCAAAGATTGTTTTTTGTCCTTGCATGGCTGTTTTAATCAATTTAAAATTATCTCAAATTAAAAAAAAAAATATATATTAATTGCTGTTTGCCTAGAAAGCGTGTCACCTACAAGATTCTGTTCACATTAATAGATTCATGCGTTGCTTGCCTAGAGTGAGATAATAACAAGTACTAGAAAGAAACATTAGTTCTCTTCTTTGCTCTTTTCTTCCATCTTCCATTTCTGACAAACTGCTTACGTATCCCATGTAGTCAGGCAAATTCCATATATTCTTACTTTTTTTGGTCACATTTTCACTCCTTGCTGTCCACTTTTTGAGGGAGAGCTGATGACCTAGCAACAAAAAAACCTCAATGCAAAAAAAAAAAAAACCCTATAAAATCTATCTTACCCTCTCTGAGAAGAACTCAGACATGCCTTTAATCTTTCTTTCCATGGCCCAGGCTGTAGGGGGCTGAAGACCTTTTGGTTAAGGAGAGCTCTGTATCATCCAGTCAAGACAGCAAACCTGACAGTATCAGGTAATTTTGCAAGTAATCTGCGGTCAGGTTGTCTGAGCTGCAAGATGAAAGACAGTGAGTTATCTGGATGCACCTAGCGAGCAAAATAGAGGAGCACTTCTCCTGCACATACCTAACACACATTTGAGTCAAACTGCTTTGACACAGGTGGAAGAAAAAAGCTCCTGACAAATAACAGGATTTCTAGTAAGTCTACAACAGAATTGGAAAAGATAAGTAGTGAAAGCTACTTTGGTTTAGAAAGCACAGCTTCATTGAAGTGGAACTGTGTTCATCTCACCATTGTTTTTAATACAAAAGTCACAATAATTTATTTGAGCTTTTATAATCCATTTTCGTAATGCCAAAGTTCATTAAGCATTTCACATAAACCATCATGTCTTTTACATATCTGTATGCCTTCAATAAGTGTAGTTGTCCCATTGTATTGGCTCTGTGATTCCTGATTTCTAAGTTTCTTTACCATCATTTTGATGTGCTTCATATGGATGTGCAAAATAGTATATATCAGCCATTCATTGTAATTAGCATTAGTACAGCACCACCCACTTTCAAATTCTTAAACTATTTTTGCCCACACTCATACCAATTTTACGGATACTATAGAGTGAGCAGCTCTTTGAGATTTGCAGTATCTCAGAGATCTTTGAGATTTGCATTGTCTCTGAAAGCCATTTTGACCACCTATTCCTAGTTGTAATAATATGAAACATTCAGATGCTCACTGGAACACATAATCATATTTATCAACCAGCTCTAGTAAATGTACATTTGAAAAAAGAAATCACTGTAGTAAGACATATAGCTAAAATATTATTACTTTTCAGGTATACGTGACAAAATGTTTTGATTTGTATTCCTCAAGTACAGCTATATAACAAAGCTTATTCATATGTGAGATGCTGCCATATTTGAGTGAACAGTTGAAATCACCACACTGACCGCCCTACAGCTGATTTATCTGCTACATTAAGTATCTTTCTCAAATTCCCATTTGCCTGCTTTGTAAGTTTATAGTGTTCTCACTAGCTTTGTGCCTGACCAATGATGCTGCAAGGATTTAAACTACTGGTTTAATGTTGACACTGTAATTGACAATTTCACTGCAGATTGGACCACTTACTTGAACCCATCTCCACTGACACAACTCTAATTAGATGGCTTGACTAGCCAGTGCATAACACCTTGCTATCCGCTCCCCCCAGGTGTGAGTCTGTAGCTTCTTACAGATTTGTAATATTTCTCTACCTTTGGTACCTAATGATGATATTTACTGTCACCTCAGTCTTTGTTGGATCAATTGTTGGTACAGAGTTTATGCCCTTACAAGCCATGTTCCTTCAATAACAATCTGTGTTTTGATTAAATTTTATCATCCAGAAGATATCGGAGGAGTCTAGTACAATTTTGTTATACTAGACCATCCTACACATAAAATTTTTGCCTACTCATAAATGTTTTGGCTTAGCTTATGGGCACATGCCCAGAAGAGGAGGCAGTTACAATTTGCATCACAAATGTACCTCAGGTTTGACTCAGAAATAAGAAATAGTTTGTGCTCTGTTTCATGCACTTTGGTACATGGCTTCACTAATCATGGTACCCCAACTGCAGTATTTCAATGTTTCTTGTTTCCTAAGTTGCTTTATCCTGTAGCTATCTATTAAATGGTTCCTGTCATTCAGGATTTCTCAGCAAGGAGCCAGGTGCTGGGCCACACTGTGTTCATTTCCAGAAGCTGGTTTGTCTCTCTCTTCCTCATTCTTACCATGAGCATGTCTTACCAAGTGAGGTATTCTTCATAGCCTGAGAAACCCCCACCTAACAGAGAAGCATGTCTGATATCCTATTACAACTGTCGGTGTCTTCTCATTCACCATGGCGCAGGAAGCAGTTAATATTAGCCCTTGAGCAAGCTAAATCTTCTCTGAAGCCTGTGGGCCATTACATCCCTCTCCAGCAGTAAAGAAGTGAAGGAGAAAAAAACCTATAAACCAAACAGATAGAAAGAACACATACCTCTTCAGCCTCAGCTAGAACAGCAATTTTTTTCACTGAAAAGTAGCTCAAGATCATAATTTTTGATAATTGAAAGTAGCATTTACTGTGAGAAACATGGCAATAACCTTCCCTTTAAATTTCATTTTTACAGCTGCTACTCAAAAACATGAGTCAGATGTCAAAACATATACAACTAGTTTAGGTTTGAAAAGCTGTTGAGATGTTCTTCATCTTTTGCTTTCCAAGGCTTTCTCTGTGATTTTGAGGGCTAGAAAAAAAAATCACTATGAAGCTTAGATTTTTAGGTAAATCAAGATACTCTAGGAGATGGAGTATTGTGAAAACCTAGTACATTGGAACACATCGGATCCAAAGGTCCTACAAACAGATTTAACCAAGAGTTGAGGTTTGTAAATTAATACATGTAGAAGTTAATGATACGTTTAAGGAACCTTAGTGATTGCATCTCACATAGTCCTTGGACACCTCTCCAATAATAAGTATATTAACAATTGGGAAGGAACCAAATTTAAGAGAACCTGAGATACAGACTTTTTATCCACAGAATAGATACCCGTACAAAGTCAACTCCCACTTACATCAGTCACTTCTGAGAGTCAGGTAGCTCTTTCTCCTTGTATTTTCATATCCCTTTGCTGGCACTGCTAGTCCAGGAAAATCTGCCATGTACCATCCCTCTTTTCCTCACTTTTGTATGTGATCATAGATAAAATCCCTGTAGTATAGGACATGCCTTGTAAGTGTATCCGGCACAATTCCATATATGGACACTATACAGAGCATATCTGTTTTTTCAGTGGAACTCAACCCAGGTTGTCGATTGTCTCCTTGATACAAAGAGACTGTCAAAAAAATTAATAGAGTTTCCAGTTTAAAGTTAGGGAGTACCAAAATTTCAGTAACATGGAAATGTAGACGTAGATGCTTACAAATAAAATTGTAACTATATTTTGGGGAGATAACTGAAGTCATATAAGCAAAACTAAGAAGTGTTGTTGTAAATGAAATAATAACAATTAACAATAGTATTTTAGACTCTACTATTCCTGTGACGTATTTGCCTTTTAAGCATGCGGTATTCTAAATTTCATCTGATGCTTTTACATTAAATGTGTATTTTGGATTGCATAATCTTTGAATAATACTATAAATTGAAGGAAGCTAAAAGACTATTAAACAAGTGCCTGGTTTTATTTATGGTAGTAGTTACATGAGCAATACACTATGCTTAATATATAATAGCAGCCACAGCACCGCGTCTATTGTATATTGTATTTAAAAGTTCCAACGCCAGCAACTCTTGGTGAACTTTGACTAGAAGCTATCTGTAATTGGTAATGCAGAAGGAACAAACACAAACACAGCAATTTAAAAACCTTTAACAGTTAGGACTGCAACACGGGGACGTTAAGGCTGACACCTCCCAGAACAGAGAAACTACAACATTATAGGAACATAGATCATAGTTTTCCATTTATGTACAGTCATACAACCATAATCACTCAGTAAACTTAGCACACACAATGCACTGGTTTTAGTCTGAGTACTAAAAACTTCTTTTATGATTCGCATTTTGGCAAAGGACATTGCCTGTAGCCTGGTATTTGGAATAAGACTGCCAGAGTGTAACACAGCTAAACTTAGCATACAGAAGGCTTGTTACAATTGATCATCTGTATTGTTTTGATGTCTATCCAGCTGGATGTATGCCATTAAAATCAAGTGACAGTGTCATAAGCCTAAAGTCTTCTTAGTTCACAAATTCCCCGATTCACTTCTCAACAAAATTACAGCTGAACAATGCATTGCAGTTCATCAGGAATTAAGTTCAGTTAGTTACATGTGAGCTCATTGGTATTGGTAGTTGAAAACAACTGATCAATTATCAACACCCCTATGAAAGAGCTAAAAGTGTCATTGTCACTAAGCTCACCCAGTAACACTTGGTTTTCAGATGTACTTGAAAACATGTGTACTGTGGGCTAAGAAGGGCCTTCACCCAATTATCTCGGGTTTGCACATGCTTTTACAGCCCCTGCTTTGTGTGGAGGGTGGCAAAAACAAAAGATGAGGAACAGAAAACAGTCTTTAGCTGATAGGAGCTACCATCAACTGAGTAGTAATGCAACAAATACCTTGTTAATACTTGCCCAGTGTCAGGTTTTATATTTTAACAGGAAAATTAAATCAGCAGAAGGTTTGTTATTCCTTTCGAAAATCACTGTCTGTGCAATGCTAAGTTATTTTGTTGCTTTGTCCTGGCGTGAGTGAAAAAAAAATAAGAAATGTGTAAATCATAATTATATTCCATAAATGAAAAAAAAGTTTTGTCAAAGATCCCAAGCTAATGAAAAGCTGCAGTGTCCTGACTGGGCATAGTGTAAGATTGCTTTAGGGAAAAAAAAAGAAGGAATTAAAGAAGAAGCAAAAATAAAAATTAAAACCAAATAAACAGACTCACAGAAACAATATCCACAAAAAAAGGATTCAATAATAATACACCAGCAGGCACAGGAATCACCGAGAACTGGTCTCAATACAGCGAGAGCAGGAGACTTTGGAACTGAAGTATGAAATTGGGTTGAGACTTTGAAGGGAAAGCTCTCACACCCATTATCTAAATGATATCCAAGCTGTAATAAAAAGCCTCATTGGCATTTTGCAAGAAAAAATAATTTGTTTTTTAAAAAAATTATATAAATGGGAGGGGAAAAGTCCCCAAATGACTGTCTAATAGTGCATCTCAAATTATTCAACAAAATTGCACATGCTGAATTAGGAGCTGAGGGCCAAAGATACAGACAAAACAGAAAATTACTTACACAAATGCGTAAAAACCCCACCAAAGTAATCAGGATTCAGGTTTTCCTGGAAATGGTCACGATTTTCAGAGCTGTCAGAACTTTTAACTGGCCACTTAAGGTTACTTAAAAAAATGTGCCTCTGATCTGATAATTCTGGAGATACAGCAGTCGCTTATAATACCTATTTGTATCCTGAGGAATGCATGGAGGGACGTGGTATTTTTACATGGAGTTTCCTACCAGTAACATAACAACCTTATCAATCTATGTTACTGAACATAGAAACCAATTTTCTATTTCTTTTTTCCTCCAGTGAGGTTGGTTATTAAAAAATATTCAACCAGAATAAGAGGAACTGAAAAAAAAAAAATCCCACAAGTCATCGCTCTGTGGTTGAAGCATCTGGGGTTTTGTGGCAACGGGGCCATGGCTGACAAAAAGAAAGACGAGTTACAGAAGCAGTACAAAAATTTTAACAGGCCCAACCTAGGAGTACAAAGAGCCACCTGCAGTTTCACACATTGGTCTTCACTTTCTTATTTTTCTCCCCTGTTATGAATTATATATAATTATTATATAGCTTGGACTCCGGGCTTTTCTGCGCCAAGTTCATATACAGCTCTGATTCCTAACATCTCCACTCATGCCTACCTGTTCCCAAGGTAGGCTGGGGGAACCTCACCTTCTGATGCTTTTAACACAAATCCATCCATTGTGCCTGTACCATTTTGTTGGTGTCTGATTTAGCCTGTGAGCTCTTTGAGCCCAAACAGGAGCCTGCGCTAGTGCTAGCAGGTATGAGGCAGAGCTCTGCAGTTTTGCCCAGAAGTTAGGGGAATCCCTAGGGAAAATGCTGGGTAATGATTCCTCCCAGGGAGACTGATAGCTTCTTATGTGATGTCCTTAATGTCAGGGACATGGGATCCACCTGCTGGAAGTTAAAGCAAATTAATCTTGCTCCTTCAGAGCTTCACCCACAGAGATTGGCCAATTCCCAGATTTGCAGAGCCACAAGCAAATTGCTTAAATTCTAGCAAGTTTTGAAACCAGAAAATAACAGCCTTACGCTCATGAACACCATTTAACAAACCAAACACCTCTCAGTTCATGTCTCAGGGACACCAAAAATGCTTTACATTTAAGTTTAAATTAAATTAAAATGAATGCTTCTATCTCTATGAGTAAAAGGTATCAAAAGCCAAGGTGTAGATTTATCTGCCAGACTCTGGTGCTGACAATGAGAGGACTACACCTATACAGCCTACTTGTCACATCCCTGAAATCTGCATGGGCCGTGTAATAGTACCTAAAAAGCTGAGCAGCTTTCCCTCTTCAGCCTGCACCCATGTCCTACTTGCTCCATGAAGTCCCATTACTTTTATCAAGCATCATTTGTACTACCGTAGTGTCTGCAGGTCTCCTTCAAGAGATCCTGCATCAGGAAAGCCTCATTATGCTCAAAGTCATAGGATACTATAGGAAATGCATAAAGGGGAGGAAAGAACTGCAGATTCCTCCCCTAGAGATAGCCCTTTAAGATGAGAGCAGACTGTGTTACTGTAATATAATCCTCCTCAGTGGAAGAGTTAGAAGCTTGCCTTGTAACAATATAGTAAGGTTTCTCCTGAATAAATAGAGAAACCAGTAAGAGAAATTCTCTCAAGTCTGATTAAGATGAAACTGAGCAAGAACAGGTGTTCATGTTGAGCAAAAGCTTCATAAATAGCAGCGGTCTGGGGGAGAGGGAGAAATTATATCCTGTGGAGGTCATAGCTTCCCATAGGGCAAACAAAGTGAGCAAGGTGGAAAGAGGCTTTAACAGGTGTGAATACACTTGTGTAATTGTTTCAGCTGGATGCTCATAAGCAAACAAATTAATTTCAAGGGGAAGTCACCTTTTTCAATTAAAAAAATAAACGTTATCACACAAGGAGTGCAGATTTTAACATTTATTCTTTTTAAACTCAAATTTTCATTTTTTTCCACAAGCAGCCTTCGTTTAACAATAGTTCAAGAAGTATTATAGTGCTAACTGCAGTTAAAAGGAAACATTTTGGCACAAGGCAGTGCCAAAGAAATAACAGAATAAACAGAATAAATAACCCGCTTTACACATGCTGAACAAAACAAATATATCATGCAGAAAATTAATAAAATTCATACTCTGTACAAGAGTTTATGCCAGTCCTTACTAAATAATACTCATGTCATTAGTAACGTACACATATTAGTAAAAATAGAAACTTTAACAAAATGCTTAATTCAAGCAAAACAGCGATGCAATATGAATCAACTCAAGAAGTTCAACGGTTCCAAAGAAGCCAGAGATAGTGCACACAACAGTGTACGACGATCTCAACCGAGAGGTTGAACCCAGTGGTTCTTCAGCCACGTCTGTGTTTAGTTCCCTGCTGGAAACCATATCACATTGACATCTTCTTGAGCTTATGGCTGTAAGAGAATGAGAGAACACACAAATAATTACCTCAGCCACAGATCCAGTATAGGTTTCTCTCTCCAAGATATAGCACCTCCTGAGAGAATAGCTCAGGTGAAAAAAGGGACATGTGACACTACTGTCCCTGAGAAGACTCTAAAAAGGAGTGGCCATGTCTGACAGGAGATGGAAAGACAAGGGAGTTCAGCATTGCCATCAGAAGTAGCATTCAGGAGATGTAAGAAACAGGCTTACATACATGCTGTTTTCATCAGCCTAGCAGTATTTAGATTTTTAGATTCCTACCTCAGGAAAAGAAGATGCCTCTTCACCCAGCCTTCCTTAGGATTTACACAGGCATTCAGCCCACTGTGGGTGTGGAAACTGGAAAAGAAATAATGATAAAGAGATCAGTAAATCATTAGAAATCCCTGCTAGTAAATACTGTGAAGATGTATTTGGTCAAAAACATGCATCATCGTTACTCTATATAATAAGCAATAGCAACTGCTTTTGTAAACGCCAGTTAGATATGGGATGCTCCACAACCCCTCTAATACTATATGAACAAAAAGAAACACCTAATAAAATTTAACTGTAATAGCTACTTCAGTCTCAGGGATCATTTTTTGCTCCATAAAATTGTGTTCAATTTATTGGAACTATTGGGACAAAGAACTTTGCTAGATGCCAGAAATAATTTGTGAGACTAAGGAGAATAGTTGCCATCAAGCTAAGGTGACAGATAAAATTTAGGAGGGCTAAAACTTTATCGAAAAAAAATTCTGATCTCTGTAAATTAAGGAAACTCTTGCCACTTATGTGTCTGTGAACAGGTTTTGGCAAAGGAACACCCTGTGTTGGCTAGAGTGGCCCTCAGCTGGAGATGAAGCATGGCTTTGTTTGCACAGCTGATTCCTAAACAGTCAGATCTACTATTTACGTTGTATGGGTGTCCTACAAGTTAGTAGTCCCTGTCAACTTGTGCATTTTGTTTACAGGTATTATATAGAATTTGTTCAGTTAATTTAACATTTTGAAAAAGCAAGAAAAATCACGCTTATAATGTTCAATTTGTTGTTTCTGCCCAAGCAGACATCCTAAGTGTCAGAAAAACCAGAGAAACTTCTGGAAAATAACTTACATGATCGCATGGATATCGCAGACTTCACTGGAGAGCTGTTCAGTATAACCCTTTAGGGCCCACCGAGGCAAACGCACTTTGGTGTAAGACAGGCAGCAATCCTGGTTGCTTTGTGCTGGAATGAAGGAAAATGACAAAGTAAATAAACCCCATTTGGACAGTGCTGCCATGCTGCCTAGGATACTTGCTGTTCAGCCCCCTGACTATCCAGCTCCCCATCCACAGAAGAGGAGGATTAGGCAGCATACTTTGCTGAACCAATTCCCTTCCATCTCACCCTCATCCTGCTGCCTGGTGTGGCTGGCAGCCTGCAGAGCAGCGCTGAGACCCACTTCCTGGGCCCAAGGTCACTCACCGTCAGACGTGCCACACAGGAGCAGCACCAGGAGCCCCAGCAGGGAAACCAGGACCAAGCTCTTGCTGCTGAAGCCAGTCATTTCCACTCCACACAGCAGCTGTGTTCCAGCAAGTGCTCAGCTGCTGGCTGTGTGTCTTGCCAGCCTGGCCGCACCTCCACCTGCTTATAAAGAGGTGGCAGGAGCTGCGGGAATTCACACACAGGCGGGTTCCACCGTCATCAGCGGGTTTCCCCATGGCAAATTCCATCATGCCCAATTCTGCCCCAGCACACCTTCCTGGTGCTATAACCGGAGATAACACCATGCTGGGGAATTTTTTTTTTTTTTTTTTTTTAAAGTAGGTTAGAAGATTCAGCCAAAAAGAAAAGGAAATACAAGGCTGTGAGGTAATGGTTCTGTGGGTGAAGCATGCGTATTTTTAGGGGTAGGAGTGTGGGTTGTGAAATGAGGAAAGTCAGATGTAGGTAACTCTCAATGTTACCTACAGAAACTGCCTATCTGCTATGCTCTAGTTTAATAAGAGGGGGCAGGGGACATGGGCCTAACCCAGCCAAATTTGTTTCAGGGTGGCAGACTTGGGGGAGCTGGGTAACTATCTGCAATTATACCAAAGCACTACATTAACATTTACTGGTTGGCCAACACAGTAACTTCAGGCTTTTCAGATTACAGCTTTGAGCTCTAGATTATAGTATTGGTGGGGAAATGTAAGCAACACTGAGTATTCATGGAAACAGATTTCTATAGGGTTTCTTTTACCATGTATTCACTGTCTTTACTGTTACATATCTGAACTATATCACGTGAAACAGAGTTAGCTTAAAAGCAGCTTGAAATGGTGTCTCTATTTGCTTTACTGTCCAGAATGCATCAATACTGCTTCATATCTTGTTACTTTCCCATGCCAAACTGTACCCAAGTACTGTGACTCCTGAACACTCAACTAAAGCACACACAATCTTAAAGCTGCCTTTGCATGGCTCAGGAGAAACCCCTGGAGGGGCTTTGTCATCGCTGCAAGTATGCTGTTTGAGCTGCTACTGAAGGCTGTTACTTTCTAATGCCATTTAGTGACCTGTGTGAAATGAATATGATGGCTGAGGGCCATGTCCCGGTCAGCTGGTGTGCACAGGCACTGCTACCTGCTCCAGGTGGTTATAAAGTAACCTGGGCTTTAAGTAACTTCTCTTAAGGTAGAGCTCAGGGACACAGTCATAGTGCATAATTACATAAGTTCTATTCTTCACAGACAGCCAGTACCTCTCATGAAGGGTGCTTTCCTATTATTTCTTCCTAGAGATTTAAAAAAATTGAATTCTAGAACAGATTGTTATTCAGAGAAATTAATTTCTCTGTAAAATAGCCAGGATTTAGGGAAGCTGAAATGGCTGGAGCCCAGATGAGCAGCCTTGCAGCCTGCGTGGCATCACATATGTTATAGGTGCTTCTCGTCAGAGCTACTGCCATTGGCCAAAGGACAGGGGAAGAGGCAGCAAAGATCCCATGCCCTGATGTACGCTGCTTTTTGTAACTGCTTTATGGATCATAGCGAAATGCCATGAAGATCAATGCTCTCAGTATGCAACTATTTCTGAACTGTTTTAAGGACTATCTGTCAGCATTAGACAATGCTACAAAATAACTAACTAGAATGATAACACCTGAAATGATGGAAGCTTGTTCCTTTCCACAAAGATAAGAGTAGTTAAACGTGAATCACTTATAACAATTTCTAGATTGACAGATCAAGAAGCATCAGGTTGGCAATAAGCA